TAAGTTGAGAAAGAGAGAGAGAGAGAGAGAGTTTTCGACCATCGTGCATGGGCTTTGAGTACCGTCTCACCTCCTTCTCTTTCTTCAATCACGTTTTGAGTTGCAGAGAGGGCCGAGATTGAAACTCTAGACTTTTCATCACGTGTTATGTGACTCCATCTCTCTCTACTATCCTACCTTCACCACCGGCGAAATGGGAGCTCGTCACTCCTGAACGAAGCTAGGTCCTCAGTTGTGCTTCCTATCTCTATGTTTCTCATTTGCTGCTGTCTTCGTCGCCTTTGTTCACGTCACTGATGGGCGAGAGAAATCAAGCCACCTGTAATGTTGGTGCTGATCATGAGATTTTCCTGCTTAATCTAGTACGGTTGAAGTCATTTCTTTCCTTCCCTGTGTACCGTGTCAGATGACTCCCCTGTTTCGAGTCACAGCTGGTTCAGTTTTGTAAGATGTTTAGCTTGTGTGTTTATTATTTTCGCTGCTAGAATCTTTATTTCTTTGCACCTAGTAGGAGCTTGGCAAAGTCGCAGACTCTTTTTGTTTCCCGTAAAGCATCACTGTTGGACGTTTGCTTCCCCTATTCAGCGTCCAAGTTTCCTCTTCTTCTCTTTTGTGATGATGGTGATTTAAGGTAAGAAGCTTTGACCATTAACTCTCTCGTGTTGTGCGTATATGGCTAGATCAGAATTGTGAATTGTTCCCCATTTTTCTGCTATTTATGAGTAATGAGATGTTGGGGATTTGATTTCTTTAAGTAATAAATTTGATTTTTGTTAGACTAAAAATTGAAAGGCAAGCTGAGTTATCTTAAAATGAATGTGATATTATTTGGGAAATGAAATTTATAGAAAAGGAAGTGGGATTTTGGTTGGAGGATTCACGTATGACAGATATTTGATAAAATGTCCATTGGTAGAGATTGTTTGTTTTAGTATCTAATAGTGATAGTTTCTCAAGGAAGATGATTTGGCCCAGATATTAGTTTTTGTATATCTCAATTAGGCTTTAATAAGGGATGTATTTAAGAAGCTGTTAAAATTTTATTTAAAGTTTTAAATTATTAAGAGTTTAATGGTTGATGATTTATAAGGTATATTATCATTTTATTAATTCTAGTTGAATGGACTCTCTTAAAAATAGGATTTGTTAATTCAAAAGCAAGGTTCATGAAGACTTTATTATATATTATAGGGTAATCGTAAGCAGGGTAGCTTGGTTGGAGCTCAAAGAAAAGAGTTTTGAGGTTGAAAGTATTACAGGTAAGTGGATAGCGTCCCAACCGATATTTCATTAAAATCTCTTTTATTTAAATATTACATTTTTATGCAAAAAAATTTTTACGACAATAATGTGATTATGAGATATTTTGTTGATTAAATTACTTTATTTTGTGAAATTATTTTATCAAAATTGATCATTTTAATTAATCAAGAAATACAAGTTTGAATTCTAATTGTGGGATTTCAATTGGAAATTATTGAATTGTTATGAAAAAATGATTCATGCGAGTTCGACATTGAAAAGGAAAATTTGATTGAATGGTGATCAATTTCTCACATGTTTGAAAATGGTTTTAAAAAGGAACTTTATATAGAACACTGGTTGCTAATGACAGTTCCGTTAGCCCTTGGCGCGCCATGGTACACCTAGCTAGCAGGGTGTTTATAGGAGGTGCTAGCCCCATGCGATGGTCAATGCACGTGGAACGGAGGGATGGTTATTCATGGGCTTTGTACCCGTGTTTGGTCAGCATGACCCTCGTGAACTGTGTGTCCATATTTATTTCGTGGCTTCGGCTACGTTTGGTTACATATCCTTGTAGACTATGTGTCCATGTTTGTTTTCATGGCATAAGCCGCATTTGGTCAGTTACCCTCGTGGACTATGTGTCCATATTTGTAAATTGTTCTGACAAGTCCCTATAATTATGAATCTAATTATTTGAGGATTTTATATTCCATTGATATTATTCAGTGATTTGTTTATAAATATTTATTTAATTTATGTGCTTTCTTGAAATCAGGTCCTATTAATATTTGCCATGATAGTTCAATGATTTGAGACTAAATTTTAAAATTTTATAGAGCAATTCTATTTTAAAGTTTATTACATTTTTATGAAGGCTGTTGTCTCTTTAACTCACACAATTATTTTAAACTTTCCTTTTTATTCAAGCTCTATTATTTATTGTTGGGACGTTATTCACTGAAAATTATTATTTTGGTCTCAGACACGTCAACTGAGGTTATGCCTTCTGTAAATCCTTAAGGGGCTGTAATATTCAATTGAGAGGAAAAGCTGAAATCAAACTTCTTTAAAGTAAATTTCTTATGTCAGGTGCTCCACATAAGCTATAGTTAGAGTCCTCATCCTTGTGATTCACACTTTGTTATTTGCTGATTGGAAAAGAGTTCCTTACTGCTACTATTGTTTTGTAAAATATTTGTAGATTTGTTTTTAGGAGATTTATTTTAAGGGAAGATTCAATCAAATTTTTTTAATATTAAACCTTTTGTTCGTATGGTTTGTATTGAGGATGGCTTAATTTACTGTCAAATATTTTTGTGGTTTATAAATTAGAGTTTTCATGCATAAAGAATATTGGAATATGGGTATTATCCCTATATTCTGTGCTGAACATGTCCTATTTTTGGGGCGTGACACACTCATTGTCATTTTTTTTGCTTTCATATACTCATTATTACAACAATCACATTGGGCTCGTGATCATCCCCTATCCAAGTATGTATTCTCATCATTTTCTCAAAATTCATTTCTCATTAATACACATCTATCTCACATAATCATCACATTCATTTTTCTAAAGACATATGCAAGTTCATATTCAAAAACATCTTAATTAGGCATTTGCATTTCAAATCATAATAACTTAATGCACAGTCAATTTTTCATATACTCATCGAAAATTAGCACATACTTTTCACGTTGAAAATTAACCCGTGCATGCCATACTCACAATAGAAGTCCATTTACAATTAATTAATATATGACTACCCAAAGTAGAGTTTTTCCCAGTTACCTCAAACCTTTAAGAGATTAAAGGTTTACCCCTCAATTTAATAGCTTCCAAGCTCGAATTTTCAAGTCAAATAGGTGACCAAGAGCCTAAACTACAATCAATCAAGTTAAATTTTATCAACATAACCAACTCAAGCATTTACACTCTCAATCCTTTGCTTCTAAATTGCCCAATGTTCACTCTACATGAGTTGAAGCCTATTCATTAGGTTTAATAATTACCTTTAGCCCCCAATAGCATTGATGAGCCATTAAATCCCCATTAATGGCATCACAAACTTCCAACCACCCATAATAAATGAGATTTTCAGATATTAATGGTACCCAACAACCTAAAACACCAAATCTCATTATACCTAAGTTTAGATACTCTAATCTACTCCCATTAACTCCAATTGAGTTAATAAATTCAAACCTATACCCTATATGGCTCGAAATCACCATCCTCATCTAAACCCTAACTCAAATCCTTGAGAAAATGGAAGAGGAAAGAAGGAAAAGAGCTTAGAAATGTTCCTTGGATGATTTAAAGCTTCTAACCTCTTCAAATTCTCATTCAAGTCGTGCCCTAGCAGAGCATTAGCGCGTCTCTCCATTTCCTCTTTTCTTTCTCTCTATTTTTGTCTCATTTTGCATCTGATAACTGTAAAAAATGGCCATGCGTTGTGGCAGACGCACAATGCACCATGGCATATGGGGCAAAGAGGTCCTCCCTCACTTAGAAATGTCTGTGTACTGCGACGGACGATCTTCACACTGCGGTGTGTGGCACAGCAACATCAACTCTTCCTTTTCTTCTCCTTTTGATGCCCAAGTAGCCCGCCTTGATACCGGACCCACAACTAAGGCTGAAATACCTTCAAATATGACTATTAGACCTCTTTGGCCAGACACACCACTTCAACTTACTTAATTATCCTAATTAGGTTTAATTAATCAAGGAATTAAAAGTCAGGATGTTACAACTACAGCGTGCACCACATGTGCCACAGCATGTGGCATAGATCCTCGAGCTCCATGTTTGTGCCATGTGTCGCACGTGTTGCACCATATGTGGCGGTGCACAATGATAGAAATTATTGTCATCCAACAGTTCACAAAAGTGAGCTTTCGACGTACATTATTTTCACGTATGACGTCTGATTGAAGTGATTCAAACGTCTACACAAAATTTATTTCATAAGTTAACTAATGAGAAAGTTTGGACACAATTCAATGGTCCAATCGAAATTTGAACCCTTGAGTGCAAAAAGTTACTTTTCCTAAAAATTTCATATACCAAAGTGTTCAAATCACACACATTATCTCATTAGGCCATTTTGGGATTAGAATCAAGTTCAAAAAGACCAAATATACATAATTGATCAAAAATCACAAAATATATTCACACATGTCAAAATTTAGTCATTCAATCACCTATTTACATAGTAAAGGGCTATTTTTCACAAATTCTCATATAAACAATCTCTTAGCCAATCTCTTATACATTCACTACAAAATCATCACTACATATATACTCACTGCAAAATGCATACTTATATACATTGCAATCCTATCCCCACATTGTTTATATCCACGATTAGGCTAGAATTCACTGTTTTATCACATGTTCCCCATATACATATTCACAACCAACTTTTAGCCCATTATCACATTTTTCAACTCATGTAATGCACATTCACAACTATAAGGTTAAGAATCACATGATCACCACATTTCACATCTACTAACATACACATGAGTCTTATGACAATTTGAATCATTTTACAAATATATAAGAGATAAATTCATTCACAAGCTCAGAAATCATATGGCAATAGCGCAATTCATTTATATAATTTAAAGGGATTCTTATTATTATTTATTATAAAAATAAAATTATAAATATTAAAATTTTCTCAAGTTTAAATAAATCTTATAAAATTTTGGAAAACATAACTCATGGAGAAAATAGAATATTATAATGCACCCGAATGATGTGAGTCAAGCATTACAGTCCACAAGGTACTGCTCGTCCGTAACATGTAAAGCGAAATTTCCTTACACGGAGCTGCTCTCCATGTTTCTCTCTCTCTCTTTCTCGCACTCGCATCCTCTTCGTCCTGTGGTCTTCTCTTTCCGACTTCCACGTTTCTTATCTCTTTCGCTCTCAAATGCTTCATCATTCTTCACATTGAAGTAAAAATCTTCACTCCACACTCAAAAGCACTCTTCATTTCTTCATCGGAAAGAATGGGCAAGGCATCAAAATGGTTTCGCTCTGTTTTTGGTCTGAAGAATTCAGACTCCTCGTTTTCGCCGTCTCCGTCGACTATACCCCCTGGCTCAGCTTCAAAACCTCTCAAAGATAAACGCAGGTGGAGCTTCGTCAAGTCTTACAGGGAATCCGGCGGTACCAAAGCCTCCGACCACCTCACTACGTTCAGAGAGGAAGCGGTTACACCGTCCGGACACATCGACAGCTTGCGTCCTGATAAGCACGCAATGACGGTGGCTGCTGCCAAGTCTGCGGTTGTGGAAGCGGCAGTGGATGCTGCTCAGGCCGCCGCCGCCGCCGCCGCCGTTGTCAGGCTCACGAGCAGCGGAAGGTGCTCTGGAAGCATCGGGACTCGTGAGGAATGGGCAGCCATCAAGATTCAAGCCGCTTTTCGGGGCTGTTTGGTGGGTACCTAATATCTATTATTGTTTAGCTTTCCGTTCTTGTTTATTTCCAATTCCTTCAGCTCTAGCTGCTTCGTCATGCTAGATTTTCTTTTCGACAACGAAAATCTCGTCCAATTTACGGGGATCGGCAAATAACTGATATCTTACTAGCGGAGTTATTCAAAGTCGCACCATCCATGGATAGTTTATTTCACGCCTTTCAATAATGCAATTTTTTTCTCATTTCGATCTGAGAAAGGTCAAGAAAGAACTGGTTCCATCTTGCGATGTTCTAATTTTGCACATACAATTAGAATCAGAAATGGTTCCATCTTTGGATTTTATATGTTTTTATATTTACGGAGTAGGATCCGGCAATGGAAGATACTGGAACAGTCTTTTACTTTTAAAAAACGATATGACTGGACTGCCTTGCAGATTTGGATTATTTGCGGGTCGTTGTCCTTTTATGTGTATTCCTTCGGTTGTTGAGAAGCGAGAAGTCTAATTTTCTTTCTTTTTCTTTCTTTTTATTGAGCTGTCCTCTTATTAGGCCGTTTGGCTAAAAACTCTCTGTCGCCTGGAAAGTTTTGCTACAGCGCTTTCCTGTTGTATACTGAGCCAACAATTAATTACTACTGTGTTCTTTTGACAGCGACCTACTGCACTGTGCCCACAGCTTCCATTTCCTCTGTGGTAGCGTTTTCATAATTAATAGGCGAGTTCTGCTCGTCAATAGTTTTACTCTCTAAGGCTGCCGAATAACAAAGTGTACTTTTAAGCTAGTGTTTGGCATTATTGTGAATCTTTTTTCAGAATCCAAAGCCGGGCCACCTTTCTTTTTGGGGTGCAGGAGAATCTTTTTCTGTGTTTTGATTGACAACATAAAATGTTCTTATTCTATTATTTTGTTTCAATTGAAACAATTTTTTTTAATCTTGATCTAATACTGTTTTGAGTAGTTAATTAATGGACAATGTTCTTAGCGAAAGTTAATTTTCACAGAAACAGACAGATTCAAAATTTAATGGGATAAATCAATATTTAATTGAAAGGAATACAACCACTCAACTATGAGCTAGCATTCAAAATAATTCAATAGATTGAAAGGACCACCTCTTCAATGAACTTTGTAAACGTTGTTTACTTGTCATCTTTAGATATGGATTAGGCTGGAGAAGAATTTTACAAATAACCCAGTGGACGGTGGTCTGCTACCGGATGTGTAGTTGCCGGCTTGATTAGAATAATTCATTCCCATTTTTGGTGCCACGTGTGAAAGCGTTAGCCTTTTGTTTTTGGGCTTTTGGTATTTTGGGATTTATTCGGGTTGGAATAGACACGAGTGTGTGAAAGAGCCCTGGTGTGAGGGTGTTTTCCAATGTGGACCCCCATGACTCTCGCAATATAAAAAGTGGGACTTGTTGATATCTGTGCATTGCTATAACTTTAGTTACAGACATACTATAATGCTCATTTGAATTCTCATATATGGTGGCGATCTTGTTCAAAATTTGCTCCAGTGTTATCTCTTTGCTGGGGGTGGTAGGTATGATGTCATTGTCTTGTTAATATGTTATTTATTTCTGGCTTACTTCATTTCAAAGCTCTTTAATAAATAACAAGAGTCCTAACTGCTCGAGTTAACTTCAGGATAATCAATGAAGGTCACTGATTGTGATGAACTGAGACCTTTTTGGAACTTTGAATTAATTGCAATACTGCTTTTAAGTTCTGTTCATTTACTTTCTCATGTTCAAACTTTGAACAATCAGTGAGAGGTGATATTGATAGGAAGCGAGCATTAAAAGGATTAAAAGGAGAGCACTGCGAGCATTAAAAGGATTGGTAAAGCTTCAGGCATTGGTGAGAGGTGATATTGATAGGAAGCGAACAGCAGAGTGGTTGCATAGACTACATGCAGTTGTTCGAGTACAGCCGCGTGTCCGTGCAGGACGAACCCAAATTCTACAGACGCCATTTTCAAATTCTAAGTCATCTAAACCAGACTTCCATGTAAGCTAAATTAGCCATTCATTCCTTAAGTTTATGGGTGTGTTTGGATTTTAATTGAAAAAAATTGATTAAGAAAAAAATTGATTATTAGAATATGATTATATTTAGATAAAATTTCAAGAATTGATTATGATATTAATTTTTCAAAGTGAAATAAATTTCAACTTATTCCAAATGGAGTAGGAAACTAAATGGAGTTTGGAAAAATTGAAATGTTTGGATAAAATTTTTTAAAACCATAATTTTAAACCTAGAATTGATTCTAAAAGGTATCCAAACAGGCCCTATATACCAGATCTTATTTGCAGTTTTCTGAGGGTGACTTTTTGCTACATGGTGGTGTTTGACTATGGGAATTGAACATCTTACATTTATAAACTGCTTTAATAGGTACAATACTAGGAAAGCTAGTGATTATACGTTCATGCCATTCAACGAAAACAGAGATGTTGTAGCATACAACAAATAATCTAATATTATTCATAACATTATCTGATATAATTTAGTTTGAAATGTTTAACAATCTCCGTACTTTTTTTTTCTATCAAAAGACTAATGTTGTTTTGTTTAATCTTTGTACGATCATTAAATAGGTTCCAGCTACACCAGACAAATTTGAAAGCCCGATCAGATCCAAGAGCATGAAATTTGATCATTCTTCATCACTCAAGGTATCCTCTTGCCAGCAGATTCTCTTCTGTACCACGGAGAGAGCCTTCATTTTCTTCCACTTTCACATGAATCTATCCTCTTGCCAGCAGATACTCTTCTGTACCACAGAGAGCCTCCATTTTCTTCCTCTTTCACATGACTCTTTTGAGTAGGGAAGAATCTAGATTCTATTTTCTGCAATCCCTTCCCCGATAAGTGGGAATTAATTGGGTTATCAAATATAATGTGCCTAATTATTGAAGCTTCTACATCGCAGAGAAATGTGTCCAAATCCCATGTTCAGATCCATGGGAATCAAGAGAAATGTTGGGATGATGCAAAAAGCTACAAGATTCTTGAGATTGATTCTGGAAAACTGCACTTCCCGCCAAAACGCCGAAACCTCTTTCACTCCATTAACTATCCTTCAGTATGTGATAATTACAGCCAAAGTTTCTCTACTGCAAAGGACTCAAAAAGTCATCAGTCAGGCCAGAGCACGTCTTCGGTTGACGAAGGCGTTGTGGATAGTTCTCAGCTTTTTTCTGTCTTCTCAAGGAACTCCGTCCTCAAAAGTAGTCCTTTTACTCCTAGCAGAAGAGACGACTCAAGAAGCTATCTGAGTTCTCATTCAGACTACCCAAGCTACATGGCTTACACTGAATCTTCTAAGGCAAAAGTCAGATCTCTGAGTGCTCCAAAACAAAGGCCTCGATATGAGAGGTCTAGTTCATCCAATAGGTACTCTGTTCAAGGATTGACCACCCAAAAAGCAAATGCATTGCACGCGAACTTCACGAGCAAAGCGTATCCAGGTTCTGGTCGTCTGGACAAGGATGGTATGCCAGTGGGGTATAGATGCTAACGTTTATGGTTGTGTTGAAGGGTTTTGGACCCGGCTTTGGTAGTGTGGGCCAAAAAAAAAAAAAAAACCTGTTTTTAGCTGTTTCCAAGGTTCGTTTTGTTTTGAACTTGTATTAGAACTAGCTGGTAGAAGAAAGAAGAAAGAAAAAAAGAACTTGTATTAGGACTCTGATAATATGATATCTCAGTGATAATTAACTTATTTAGGTTCCTCTCAGTGGTGTCTTGTTTCATGCAGGTGAGTTCTTCCTTTAGATATCATTGTTTAATAGAGGCTTCAATTTTGTATCCATTTTAAACTTGAAAAGATGGATTCCGAAGCTAAAAAAATGAAATTTTTATTTGATGCATTTCTAACTGATGTGGATGATAAAACAATTATAAATATAGAAAAAATGTATTGTAATAAAAGGAAAAATATAACTTTCAATTTCTACACTTTGTGCACGTTTTGTAATTGATTCTTACACTTTATTTTTGTTGGTTTAAGTACGTATTTGGTTTTTAATTTGCTAAAAATTCATTTGATGAAAAGTTAGTCTAGTAAAAGTTTTTATAATGAAATTTGTGTTTAAATATATTTTTTTCAAAAGTTAGTTTAGTAAATTGAAAGTTGTTTGAATTAATGATGATTTATGTTTTTGAAATGTACTTTTAAATATATAATAATTAAAAAGGATATTAATTTATGATAATTTATAATTTTTATTATACAAATATAATATATTAAAAATTTAAAAAAAATTCAAAATAACATAAAATTTAATATGTTAAATAATAAAAATAAAAATTGTAAAGTTTAATATTGACAAAATATGTAATAAATAATTCAACAGTCACTAATATTGAATTGCATATCCTATAAATAGGATTAAAAATAATTTTTTTTCTTTTTCATATACAGAAGGTTTACAGAATTGCCTCCCTATATAATTTATTTGGCCTTGTGGCTATTGCACTAAATTCAAATTCTAATAAAACAAAGCATGCAATAAATACTATAAGGGAATAAGGGCAATATAGTAAATTCAAAAACTCAACACTAGAAAGTTGGTTTGAAAAGTTTTAAAAAGTTAAGTTCTCAAATTCACTTTCAATAGCTTTCTCGATGTACATTCAAAAAATTAGCTTGCCTAATCATGAAATTCCCAAACAACATCCCACATTCAAAAAGTAAAAAAGTATATCCCAAAAGCCAAAAGTCATGTATCCAAACGGGTCCTAAGTCCCTATAGTTTGCTCACTCTACACTTTAAGTCCCTACACTTTTTGAGGGGTGGTGACGTGGCGCTAATGGTGTTAATTATGTTGACGTGGACATTAACTCTATTAACTTTTTTTATGTGTATTTTTTGTAGGGAAAAAAAAGAGAAAAGCTTATGTGTATTTGTTTAATAATCAGACTCCATCCACGTGTGTATTATGTAGACAAATACAAGAAACAAGTAGGGCCAAGAACCATCGGAGGACCACAACCTTATTCCTAAGGCATAAAAAAGACTTAAGAAACTGAGAGTGTTGGAGGACGTCGGCAAGGGTTTATCACCGACATCGAAATAGTGAACATCCAAAAGTTCTACTCATTTACTTAGTTGACGGTATGTCTTTCATTTACTCGTTAACTCATTTGACCCTATTATAGTATCTTCTTCTCATTCATTTACTCATTACTATCCCTACATTTTGAGGTCTCTACATTTCGAGAGTTCTATTCCTTGATCATGTTCTCTCATTTACTCAACCCTATTACCATATCTGAGATGCTCATGAAAAGCATCCTTAGTGTTTCATTAATGTCGTTTGTGGTCTATGATTTTTACATGTCTTTTCTTCTAATTTCTGGCTTGCTCTATTTTTTAATTGCTCTATGCTTGAATGAATTTTTTTTATTTAGAATGATTATTGAAGTTTTATAATTTGCTATAAGGTATAATATGGACTTAAAGACTGATTATTGCGACAAAAATATGGCTTACCGCTATCAATAATTTTTTTCTCAGTATGAAATCTATTTTAACTTTCATTAATACTTGTGATGTAGACATGTAGTTGCGTGTATATGTAACAAAAGTGAGGATCAACATTCGTATGTGGATTATTACTTTAAGTTTGCAAGCTTTTGTTGCTTGTTACTCTCCTGTCATAGAGCCTATCAATGGAGACAAGATGTGGCAAAAAGCTTATGGATATCTTCTTGATTCCCTAATGCACCACAAGCATCTTGGCCGGCCAAAAAAGAGACAAAAAAGAAGGGTAGATGAGGATGCAACATCAACATAGATGAGGAGAGAAAATACAAGCCTTAAGTGTTCAGGTTGTGGGAAGTATGGACATAATCAAAGGATTTGCAAGGATCCCAATAAGCAACGTGAAAAAAGAAAAAGGCCTACTAAGCTACCTATCAAAAGTACAAAGAGGCAAATATCTTGCACACAAGAATCCACTAATGCAACTCCTCCTGGTAGTAGTCAACCTTGATTGAGATGTAAACTTGTTGTAGTTTTGCAAATATGGGATTTTTTGCATACATTTTTGTACATGAGATTTGAATTAGATGGTACTTTGGTACATGTTTTGTACATGAGATTTGACTTAGATGGTATTTTGGTTCATGTTTTGTATATGGGATTTGACTTAGATGGCAAAATTGTTGAATGGAAAAATTGTAATTTGACTTTGATTAGGTTATTATTATAATGATTAAGTTCATGGAGTCTCAACTCATTATTAGAGATATACGGTTTGATTAGTGGAGTTTTGTATTTAATACTTATAGTTTATGTTTTGAATTAAGAGTTTTAGATATATACAGTTTTGACCTTTATTCAGTTTTTTCTATATATCTCTTAGTATACAAATTAATTTAATGTAAAACTACCTTCATTTAAAAATAGACTTATACATTTTTCCAAAGAACTTAATTTTGTTCAAAATAGTTTTTATATGAAATAGATATAATTTTTCAAAGTTGGATGTTGAAGTTTCTAGTACTTCAAAAAAGTGCTACTGACCTTTTCTCACCATATTGATCATATCTCTTTATATATTTTAAATTTTTGAGTGGATCTTTTTTCATTAGAAAGACATTCAGGGCTTTCCAACCATTGGTCATTTTCTTGATTTGGAATTAAAATGAAGGAGTTATGACCATTATAAATTGACTCATACTTCTTGATTGTCTATATCGGTATAAACCATTTATACCCATATAAGTCTTCCTTATTCTGGTACAATCTTCTTTATACCGATATAAACTTTCATTTTTTGAGTTTAGCCTTATCTTTACCGGTATAAAACTTTTTTATATCGATACAAATGATCTCTTACCCATATAATCTCACTTACTTTGGTACAAACTCACTTATTATGCTATAAACATTAATTTTTATGCTCTGTTCCTAGTGTTTGAGTTCGTTCTTTTCAAAATTCATTCTATATCAATTTCTTTTACTTTTTATGAGTTGTGTTAACCTTATAACATTTTTTAAATTTTTTTAACAAAACTTTGGGTTGGATTAAACACTTATCAATTTTTACAAATCTTTTATACCCGTATAGTAACTTAGCATATCTGACACAAGTGTCTACTTTGCTATGTTTGAGTTAGATTTCTATCTTCCATTACTTTCTCACTTATGTTAATTTTAACTAATTTATGATGTAATCTATAAAATTGGAAACAAATTTGGTGGTCATAATAATTTTTTCCACTGTAATAAGTGCAACTTTATTTTGAAAGATTTGATAGCTAATGGTAGAAATTTGTGAATGATTTTTGTGATGTTTTAGCAATTTAATTTTATGACTTTATTAGTTAAGTATGTTCCCTATTAGGCTTTCTTAGGTTGTTTCCTTAATCTCTGTTCTCCCTCTATTTTCTTTCATTCCCCCTTTTATTTCTCTTTCATTTCTCCCAGTGATACTTTGGTAAATAATTCTAATTTTTGACTTGTTTTGGAAGCCACCTATATTGCAAGCAATTTCCCCTCAACTTCCTAGAGACAAAATATATTGAGAGAATTAAAAACTTTAGATTAACCAATATATCTATATATTTTTGATGTTTTTCAAACCTGTTTTATTTAAATCTTGTTCTCCTCTATCCAGATCTTGGCCCTACTTGTTTCTTGTTTTTGTCCGCGTAATACACACGTGGATGGGGTCTGATTATTAAACAACTACACATAAGATTTTTTCTTTTTCTCCCAAAAAAAAGTACACATCAACATAATTAATAGAGTTAATGTCCACGTCAGCATAATTAACACCGTTAGTGCCATGCAACCCCCCTCAAGAAGATAGGGACCTAAACTGTAGACAGAGCAAACTGTAGGGACTTAGATCAATGAAAATAAGTGTAGAGACCAATAAAAAAAATGCGCACAAAACATAGGGACTGAAAGTTATGTTTTCCCTAAAAGAAAGTAATTAAAAAGTTCCTCAATGGTCACACAAATTAATTGATGAGGTAGAACACCTAGAACGAGTTGGTGAAACAACAAATTATGAGATTTTTTAAAGAAAAGCCAAACATTGTAGTAATTTTTAAGAAGATATTGTAATAATTTTTACTGATGACTCAGAGAATGCGGATCCTTATATGCATATCAAGGATACTGATAATTATGAGGAAAAAGATGAATTAGCTTTAATACTACCATACAATTGACCTACAAGCCCATAATTGCAAACAACAATTATATACTATAATTTAATTTCTAGTTACCTTAACCCTTGGGTTAGCATCCCAAGAATATAATTTGGATTCTAGGAGAGCTCATAAACAATCAATGAGCTCTAAGAGTAATCAATCTCTAACATCATATTTCATACAAAAATTTTCATAAGCAATTTATCAAATGGGATTTCAACACAAAAACAAATGCCCAAAAAAAAATACTAACAAGCCTATCAATAATTCATCATATCAACTATATAACACAAATTTACATACATACATACATAGGACTCAGCCGAAAAATCTCTAGTTTTATAATTTAGATCAAATCCAACATTTATTTAAAATTAAATATTTATACAAAATGATCCTAGGTCATGGAAACAAAATAATAGAACTACTACATGGGCCAAGCCATATGGAACAAGGAGCCTAAGCTCACTGTTTCGATGCCTGCCAACCATAGGATACTTAGTAGTGGTTTACCATGTGGTAAAATAACAATATAAATAACCCAATCACAACCAGCATATTAATATCCTCCCTATAATAACCCATAATTTTTAAGTAAAATTTAAAATAAGTAATTATATATTTTAAGAGCATCTTCCTTAGTTTT